CCTTGCAAGAGGGCTACCCAAATAAATACTATTAAAATACTGGAAACCATAATACAATACTATGGTCTTCCATTACAAATTCAGAGTGACAATGGAAGTCACTTTAAAGGAAAACTGGTACAAGACTTTTGTGATGAAAACAATATTGAATGGATATTTCATATACCCTACTATCCTCAAGCAGCTGGTCTGATTGAAAGAATGAATGGGTTATTGAAACAACAATTGAGAAAACTTGGTGAAGGGACCATGCACAAATGGAGAGATAACTTGTCTACAGCTGTAAACATCTTGAACAATAGGCCACTCTCAGACCATGACACTCCCCTCACTAGAATGATTGCACCCAATATACAAGCTAAACCTTATGTAACAAGTAACACCATCACATATTGGGAAATAGAAGAGGGAGCTCTGGCCCCATACAGGGCTATCCCAGAGGCCGCAGGAATAGACTTGCGAGCCAGAAAGGAAGAAAGACTTCAAATAGGGCAAGTTCAGATGTTCCCCACAGGTATAGGAATACAAATACCCCCGGGACACTTTGGACTAATTGCACCTAGGTCTAGCCTCGCCCTTAAAGGGATACACGTAATGGGAGGGGTTATAGACGCAGATTACCAAGGAGAAATAAAGGTCCTTCTGTTAAATCAGGGACCACAAGACTTGCTAGTGCAAGAAGGGGACAGAATAGCCCAATTGGTTATCATCCCCATTTACCAGGGACAGGTACATAAAGGAACGGCCCCCACCTTACAAACAGTAAGAGGAGATAAGGGATTTGGCTCTACTAACCTAAATCCAGGGGCCAAAGTCTGGGTGAGGACTGAGAAAGGTCCCCCAGAACCAGCAGACATTATTGCAACAGGCAATGACAACACTGTGATACTCTCCAGGTCAGGACAAGAAAAATAGGAATACTTGCCTTCGGGCAAATGTTATTTGAGAGAGTAAGATGAGTTGTATCTTTACAGGCAAAGCTCATTGGTCCGGCTGTTATTGTGATGACTGCGCTTACTCTACACCCTTCGGTCGGTTCAGATACCAGCAACGAGATTGGAGATGAAGTGGAAAGAGATCGAGATACGAGTAACCTGCCTGACTAATGACTGTCCAAACATAAGGGCAAGCTTGTATGGAGAAGGCTATTTTAGCCACAATGACACTGAGGTGATGAACTATATTAAGCTGCCGCATGAATCATTTGATATGTTGACGCTAGAATCTGCAACACCTTTTGGCTGCCGCATACTATTTACACATATTGACTCTAATATTACTTTAGAAGAGCTTACCCAATATTGGGTAGGTTACGCAAATCAGCAAAGCACAAAGCGAACATACACTATTGTAGAGAATAGTGGTGCAACCTACTGCTGCACTAACAGCACCCCTGATACCTTTTGGTATTTACTTTTAAAAATTCAAAGGACATCCATGACGACTTGTTCTGACATCCCCAAATCAGACAGACACCTCTCGCCTTGGGAAGAACACAATCACTTTATTAAGGCAGCAGCTAATGTATATAAGAGCTTAGACTTATGTAAGCCATGCTGGGTGTGTGGCCATACGCCACATGCTCATGACAGAGGGTACCCCTATTTCCCTAAAGACTTGCTGTACATCAGACGTAATGTTGGTTTTTACTTTCTAATAAGCAATGACACAAGTGAGATCCCCAAGATCTTCTTAAGTGAAGATACTAGGGACAGACCAGGTGCAGTTAAGCTGCGCATGGGGGAATGGGAATACCCTGACGACTTAGAAGAAGTAGTGACTATTAATGTTTACCAAAAATACTACACTGACCCTAGCTACCAACCGAACGTCCAATCTAGCAGTTATGTAAATACCATGGCATTATCCCCTTTTTACACAGGATGGAGTTTTGACTATTTTAATGGGACGGAAAATGGTGAGAAAAGAACCGAGGGCAGATGGAAGTATGTCCTAGGAGAAGGCGAGGCAGAGACTATAAGTCGATGGTGGCATAAAATAGTAGGTACAGGAGTGTTTAGTACTTATTTTAAATTTAAACGTTCTAATGTAAGCTGTATAAATCACCCCATCCCTTCAAGAGGATTTTATTGGCTTTGTGGGAGATGGGCTTATAAAAAACTCCCATGTAAAATGAAAATTGATTGTACCTTAGGAATGGTGATGCCCGCCATTTACCCTACTAAAACTTTACCTGAAAACACCCATCATCATTGGCAAAAGTGAGACACCGATTTATCAGGATTTAAAATGAACAGAAACATGCAGTTTTGGGTCTCTCTCTTTCCAATGGTGGGGGTGGGAATGATGATAACTAATTTAAATCTTTTAATTGATACTATTGACGATGCCTTTAATAGCACAGGACTTGCTATCAGTTTGCTTAATTATGAGCAAGAACAGATTAGACAGGTAGCTTTGCAAAACAGAATAGCCTTAGATTACTTGCTGGCAGCAGAAGGAGGAGTATGTAAAAGAATAGAAGGCAAGGCATGTTGTGTGTGGATAGAAGATAAATCAGGGAAAGTTAAGCATGAGCTTCAGCATTTAGAAAACCACTAACCACAGAAGATTTGGAACACTGGCTAGCTAATACTACACGAGACTTTGACTGGACATTTGGTATAGGATCATGGATAGGAGGACTTGGGATGAAAATATTAAAGGGAATTGTGTGGTGTGTTTTTATTATACTTTGTATTTACCTATGCTACAAACTTACCATTTGCTGCATTCAAAGAGTAGCTACATGTAAAACAGATGCCAGGATAGACTTAGAAGAGTGACAAATGTTTTTATAGATAGACTAGATGCCCTTAAGATTAGAGATAAGCGGGAAGAGGCATGTCCTACGGGTGACCCTCGACTCGAAGAGCTTTATTGCATGAATTGGTTCCAGGTGTGAATGGGACAATATGGGGATCAGTGGGAAAATGGGCTTGCCCCCTGCTGATAACCTGAATGGCACGCGTAAATGTGTAAGGTTTTGCTCACTTAGTGATCAAGGGATGGAATGTGATAATTGTGATAAAATCCAATTAACTAATTAAGAATGATTGATTGATCACTAATGAGCAAATTAATCCATCATAGATAGTTAAGATGGCACTTGGCTTAAACTGTGTCGCACTAAGAAATTCAACTTGTGTCGCACTAAGAAATTCAGCTATGATGACATTGCATAAAATGCTTAAACTGTGTCGCACTAAGAAATTCAACATTGCCTGGAATATTCCATAGCATGTCTGGCCAATATCCAAAAAGGCCCACGTGCTGAACAGAGGGAATTGGTGCCAACAAATGTATGGAAAGATAAGAGTAGGGACATAGATAGAATAAGATACCGCACGTATCTGGCATGAGCCTTGGGTGGTCACGACTGGCCTGATCAACCATACTGATTACTTAATGCGCATGACAAGATACATGCTGGGCTGCACTGATAAGAAATCTTGGAAAAGTTACAAACTTGCTAAAAGGTATAAAAGACGGAGAAACTTGGCACTCACTTGGAGAACTACCCACCTGTAATGCGGACGCGTGTTGCTGGTCTCTGCTGTTCCCAGAGAGGGTCCCTCCATGCCGACTGCCAGAGTTCTCCCCAGTCAAGTGCAGAGGACACAAGCCCCTCTAACGGTGATGTATACTTAAGCTGATATATCCGGATGCTAAGCTGTTTTGAAGTGAATGCATGCAACTACTTAATGAGAGTTAAGCTTACTCTGTATTGGGTCCCCTTGTGGACAATAAAGTGTGGTGTGAATTCTTATCTGCAACTTGGTCTCTGTGTGGTTTCTTTTTCCTATAGCCCAAGACACTCATCTCGAACTGGGTTGTGTGCCCGCCAATATTGTTATAAACCTTATTAGGTAATTGATTATTGCTTTTTGGATATTGGTGCTTCATGAATTTAATGATTAGGCACAACACTGCCCCATTGGTTATTTAGCGCTTACTCTTTTTCCTGTTTCATCTCTTGACCCTACTTTGCCTACTAACTATTGTCTCATATCACTACTCTCCTTTACTTCTAAGCTTTTTGAGGGAACTGTGCCTACTAGTCTAACTTACTTTCTCAATTTTATTGCCCTCGTTCGCCCTTTTCATTATGCTTATGCTCTGTCCATTCTATTAAAACTGCACGTACCAATTATGGTCTGAGTTGACTAATTGCTTAATTTCTGCAAAATCTAAAGTTCATAACTCTTTCTTAAATTTAGTCAACTTATTTGCTGCTTTGATAGTGTTGGCCACTTACTTTTTCTCAAAACCCTATACAACCTTAGATTCCGTTAACTAAAGTTCAAACACCAGTAACTGAAAAAATTGTGTGTTTTTGTGGAGATAAGTTTTCACTGTTAAACATATAACACTGTTTAGATCAAATACTTGACCTTCATCTCACGCAATCAGGTGGGTGGTCCTCCTATGGAATATGCAACAAAATATAAATGAAGGGTCTGGCCACTGCCGACAAATTTCCCCACTGCTGTTTTTTTTTTAAAAATAATTCCAAATGTTATTAATCCATTATTAAAATATAGATCATATCCATCATATAGCTGTAAAATGGGTGGCAAATTTGCCCTATCATATGTGCAACCTGTACATGGGTTGGTGGGAGAAGTCCCACGTCTTTAGAGATGAAAACCCTTTATGTCTGGAGACTTTATTTTACAAAATATATTTGGAATGGAAATAAACAATGTCTCTTAGCTTTTTATGAATTTGTGAACAATAATGATTTAGGTTTGCAATTTTAAATTGAATATAGCAATAGCAAGATCAATTTCTTAGATATTACCCTTAGGATAGATTTGGGTGATATTACCCTTAAGATAGACTTTTACATATAGGAAGCCTACAGACACCAATTCCATTTTGAAGGCCACTAGTCACCATTTTGTCATGTGATAAAAAGCATACCAATTGGTCAGTTCATAAAACTGCAAAGGGACTGCATTGAAGAAGGTATGTTTTACAGCAGGCTACAAAACTTCGGGAAAGATTAAGGAAGTATAGTATCCAGAGTGGGTGATTAACATGAAATGGGATATTGCTAGAAATAGGGATAGAAAGCTGTTACAAATAAATAAGAAATGGCTCATTGAGAATGGTTTGGATGAGGAATACGTTTATTTTTCAACAATGTTCAGTACACAATATGAAAACATTAAAGGACCACTATAGTGCCAGGAAAACATACTCGTGGCACCCCCTCCCGCTGGGCTCTGGGGAGAGTAAGGGGTTAAACTTACCTCTTTCTCCAGCGCCGGGCGGGAAGCTTTCCTCCTCCTCTCCTCCCTCTTCTCCTCCTCTTCGGCTGAATGCGCATGATTTTCACAGTCAGAAGCACGCAAGCGCCTCTAGCGGCTGTCAAGAGACAGCCGCTAGAGGCTGGATTAACCCATTTATAAACATAGCAGTTTCTCTGAAACTGCTATGTTTATAAAAAAAAAGGGGTTAACCCTAGCTGGACCTGGCACCCAGACCACTTCATTAAGCTGAAGTGGTCTGGGTGCCTATAGTGGTCCTTTAATGCCATTGTAGAGAAGAATCTTCCCATATTTTACGAAGGGATGAGACTTTGTCTACCATGATACAGGGAACTATTAAATTTGTAGCACCTGTCTAGTCAGCTGTCCCCTGGTCTCTATTTGAGTGAAGATGTTAATGGAGAAAATTAATAAAATCCCCTAGTTAAAATACAAAGGTTTTGTCAAGTGTTGGAATCATACCTGTAAGATGTGTAATTGTATGCATAAAAATAAATTTTGTATTCTACTTGCAATAACAGGACATTTTCTATTAATACACACTTAAATTGCAATATAAGGTTAGGTGTATTTAATTATGTGTACATGAATCTGCTGTGAAAGACTGGGTTTACTTATGACTTTTTTGGTTGACCTTTACCAGATGCTGCAGGTTTCTTGGTTTTTTTGGATGCTCCATTTGTTTGCACAGGTAACATCATATTCCTAGCAGCCAACTAACACTAATGCTAGCAGTACAGGAACAGATACTCAGCGCCAGATAAATAGAAGAGGTGTGTCTACCACAAAAGAAAGGAATCAAGGAGCAGACTGTGCAAAGAGGCCTCAAAGACAATGCAACACATAGTATCTGGATGCAAGATGTTACAAGGGACAGTATACACTGAGAAGCAAAACTGAGAGAGAGAGAGTGAGCATTCAGAAAGTATTCTGATCCCTTCATTTTCCCACCACATTTTTTTATGTTGCAAACGTATGGTGCAGTGTTAAAAAATTGTCACACCAATCAATGCACCATGATGGCCTAGCAAAAACTAGATTTTCAAAAAACTGCAATATCACAATTATGCTATGGGGAATTCAACAATTACTTTGTTGGATTCCCCTTCTAGCAAATTGTTTTGGAAAGGCACATACCTGCCTATATAAGGTATTATGGTGTATATGCATAACTAAGGAACTGTATACAGAGATGAAATATATATTATGTAGCACAGAACTGGGGAAGGCTACAAAAAAATTCAGATGTATTGAAGGTTCCCAAGAACACAGTGGCCTCCCTAATTCTTAAATGGAAGAAGTTTGGAACAGCCATAACTTTTCCTACACCTGGCTACCCAGTCAAACTATGCAACCTGGGGAGATGGCCTTGGTAAGAGAGGTCACCAAGAACCCAATTGTCACTCTCTGTGAGCTCCAGAAAACATGTGTGGAGAGGGGAGACATTTTCCAAAGGACAACCATCACTACAACACTCCATCAATCTGACTTTATGGTACACTGTCAAGATGGAAGCATCTCCTCACTGCAGGACACACAGAAGCATGCATGGAATTTGCAAAAAACACCTACAGGACTCTCTAACTGTAAAAAACAAGATTTGCTGATCTAACGAAACAAAGATTCAACTGTTTGGCCTCCATTCAAAGTATTGTATCTGTGATAAACCATGTAGCACTCATCACCTGCTCAATACTATCCAAATGTTAAAGCATGATAGTAGTAGCATCATACTTTGTGGGTGTTTTTCAGTGGCAGGGACTGAGAGACAGGTCAGATTTGATGCAAAGCTTGGTGCAGCAAAATGCGAGATATCCATGGCTTGCAGTGGCGATTAACGTGGCTAGTAGCCCTGGATAAATATTGTATTTTTATTATCTTTTTTTTCTCCTCAATAAAATGTTATATTCTTCAATAAAAAAACAAAAAACTGAAAGAATAATCAGTGGTGCTTTTTTTCTTTGCTGTCATTGGTAAAGGGAAATCTGCTGGTAAGGAATAAAAATAGACTTTTTTGGAAGCAGGGCCATCTGCCTGTAAATTCTATACCCCATTAATTAGAACATGTGTTAAATGGACTGCTAGGATTAAAGCTGTGATAGATTATTTTAAATGTAACTGTTTTCTTGTTTCATTCTTTTTTTCTATACTGTTCCAACATACCCTTCCGACGTATCGGAGGGATAATGCTTTTTGTTAACTGTTCTTTAATTATCTAAAAAACATTATCTGGATATTTACCTATCTAAAGATGAACCTGTGCAGATAATGTGATGTAATTACAGTTGATATTTAAAGGAGAATTATAGGCCCTGCATAAACTGCAGCTTTTCTGTTTTTGTTTAAAAATGCTGCTGTTCATGTTGTTGCAACTTTCTCTGGAAGATGAAAGTGACAACAGAAAGTTTACAATTCATAATAGCTCCCATATGGGATGAACTTGCCCACCAAAACATGCCACATGCAATATGCTATGCAGTGTGTGTAGCAAATGCAATGTCTGTGTACTAAATTAAGTATGTGAACTGTATGCAGTGTATGTGGTGAATGCATTGTGTGTGTATATAGTGGATGCAGAGTGTGTGTTTGTGTAGTGGATGCAGTGTGCGTATAGTGCATGTAGTGTGTGTATAGTGCATGCAGTGTGTATAGTGCATGCAATGCTTGTAGTACATGTATTGTGTGTCGTAGTGTTGAATAAATGTAATGGGACCCATTCTCTTTAATATTTTTATTAGTGATATTGCAGAAGGTCTTGATGGTAAGGTATGTCTTTTTGCTGATGATACTAAGATATGTAACAGGGTTGATGTTCCAGGAGGGATAAGCCAAATGACAAATGATTTAGGTAAACTAGAAAAATGGTCAGAATTGTGGCAACTGACATTTAATGTGGATAAGTGCAAGATAATGCATCTTGGACGTAAAAACCCAAGGGCAGAGTACAGAATATTTGATAGAGTCCTAACCTCAACATCTGAGGAAAGGGATTTAGGGGTGATTATTTCTGATGACTTAAAGGTAGGCAGACAATGTAATAGAGCAGCAGGAAATGCTAGCAGAATGCTTGGTTGTATAGGGAGAGGTATTAGCAGTAGAAAGAGGGAAGTGCTCATGCCATTGTACAGAACACTGGTGAGACCTCACTTGGAGTATTGTACACAGTACTGGAGACCATATCTTCAGAAGGATATTAATACCTTAGAGAGGGTTCAGAGAAGGGCTACTAAACTGGTTCATGGATTGCGGGATAAAACTTACCAGGAAAGGTTAAAGGATCTTAACATGTATAGCTTGGAGGAAAGACGAGACAGGGGGGATATGATAGAAACATTTAAATATATAAAGGGAATCAACACAGTAAAGGAGGAGACTATATTTAAAAGAAGAAAAACTACCACAACAAGAGGACATAGTCTTAAATTAGAGGGACAAAGGTTTAAAAATAATATCAGGAAGTATTACTTTACTGAGAGGGTAGTGGATGCATGGAATAGCCTTCCAGCTGAAGTGGTAGAGGTTAACACAGTAAAGGAGTTTAAGCATGCATGGGATAGGCATAAGGCTATCCTAACTATAAGATAAGGCTAGGGACTAATGAAAGTTTTTAGAAAATTGGGCAGACTAGATGGGCCGAATGGTTCTTATCTGCCGTCACATTCTATGTTTCTATGTCTATATGTGAGCAATTTTTATTATTTATAATTCAGTTTATTCCCCCCTCCTTACCTCTTACCTGTGGGAAGGGAGGGGGGATACTTGATTCCCTTGTGGTCCAGTGGATCAGTGGAGCTGGAGGATAATGAAGAGGGGACCCAAAAGTCTAATCTTCTCCTTCAGCAGCAGCAGGTACTGTCCTCTCCTTCCTCAAGCCTCAAGAGCGCGGCTGTAGGTTGCCATGGTAACCCTCGGCTATCGAGAGGAGTGGACCTGCTCCTGCTGGAGGAAAATATTAAACTTCTGGGCCCCCTCTTAAATCCAAGGCTGCAGGGAGCCAGAATCCAATATATATATATATATATATATATAGCGATACTCACTATGTGCACATGCAAAGAAAGCCCAGGCCCTGTTCTGCAAATTTGTTAAAGTGTGGTCCCTGTGAAAGTGCCACCTGGAGCCATAGCTCCACGGGGTCATATGGACGGGCCGACCCTGGCTGTAGCTCTCTCTGCATGGTCATAGTGCTTGCTGCACAGTGCAAGCGTGTCTAGTGATTTTGGAGGCCCTGATGTACAACTACTGTGCCCATAAAATAATGCTTGTAGAATACGATAATCCTGGATTGTAATAATTATTGTAGTTCTGTGTATTACATCCACATTGGTCCTAAAATACACAGCTGCTAGATCTGCCATGATTTACACATACATATATATATATATATATATATATATATATATAAAATCCAAGGTCCTGCACATGCCTGTCAGAAGTACTTGCCAAGGAGCAATCTCCAGCCTAAGGTAAAAAATGGTTATGAAGGAGAGCTCTCACTGGACCTTTCTAGATTGAAAAGTCCAGTGAGAGCTCTCCATTGTGACCATTATATGTATCAGAAAAATGTTTTTTTTTATATATGTATAAAATAAAAACCAAAGAAAAAAGTTACTTGCACACTATCCCAAATAGCTATACACATTTAAATAACTTAACCCCTTAAGGACGGCAGGCGTTCTTCCCCGAATATATAATATAAAAAAAAATATGTAAATACGTTAAAAAATAAAAATAATAATAAAAAATACATGTAGAACGAAATAATATATATATCTATATACATAAGTATATACGTTGTGAGCGTAAAAGTGGAATTGTGGTTGATGGAAGATACATCAGGCCTGATTTGCTAAACAGCAACCAGAGAATTTTCAGTTAAATGCCCCAGGGAGAGATGTTAAAGTTTGCAATATACATTGATGATGCGCTGCAAAACACAGTATGGGTCCCTGGGGTGCAGCATTTGGAGAGCAGGGTGGGCCAATGCTCCAACAGCACTAGTTGCTGTGTAACAGGCCAGAATTTGGATCTGACTTAAGGGTTTACTAATTGGCACTCACCTGTAGCTAGTCAAGTAGCAGACTGGCCTTTAAAAGAAGAGATCAGCCTGCTGCAGAGTGAGGGAGAAAAAGCCAGCTAGGAGAGCGGAAGGAGAGCGGAAGGAGAGCGGAAGGAGAGCGGAAGGAGAGCGGAAGGAGAGCGGAAGGAGAGCGGAAGGAGAGCGGACCTGCTCCTGCTGGAGGAAAATATTAAACTTCTGGGCCCCCTCTTAAATCCAAGGCTGCAGGGAGCCAGAATCCTATATATATATATATATATATATATATATATATATATATATAAAGCGATACTCACTATGTGCACATGCAAAGAAAGCCCAGGCCCTGTTCTGCAAATTTGTTAAAGTGTGGTCCCTGTGAAAGTGCCACCAAGAGCGGAAGGAGAGCGGACAACACTTGTGTTTATTGCAAAGCTATTCTCGTTTTTTTTTGTGGAAAATTGGTAAGTGGGATAGCCACCCAATTACAGATAGTAATTCCTGTCTAGTAAGAGCTCAAGTAAGAACAAGGGATTTTGTTTGTTTGTTATTATTTAAAGCACCTGCTTTTTATCAAATAAAAAGGAAAACTGAGCTGAATGTGTCCTGGACTTTCTATACCCTAGAAGGCTGTGGTTAATGCAAGATCTGTGCCAATCCTACCTGTAAAAGAGGTGGTTTGTTACAACGTGTATATATACCGATATATAAATAAAAATAATTTAAAAAAATTATATATATATATATATATATATATATATATATATATATATATATATATATATATATATGGTGTCCTGATGACAGCTCCAATCGGGAGCTGAAACGTTGACATCTTTGGATCAACTGAGTGCTGGTATTCTTTCAAATTTTTATATATGTATATATTTATGTCATATTTTTACATAATTAGGTAATTTTTATTAATTACAATTCGCGGGACCTGCCTGACAACCCAGGCCAAAAGTACAGGGAATTTAATTTGCTAGCACTATATTTACCCTATAACTTTCCAAGACACCATAAAACCTATACATCGGGGGTACTGTTTTACTCAGGAGACTTTGCTGTACACAAATATTAGTGTTTCAAAGCAGTAAAATGTATAACAATGAGGATATCATCAGTGAAAGTGACGGTTTTTGCCTTGATGTGGCAGGTGCACGTACATTTCAATAACCATTGGAGCAATACTAAAATGTTCTTTAACCCCTTAAGGACTGAGCCAAATGTACAAGTTGTGATCAAAATAAAACGTAAACAAAACCTGGCATTTGCGGTATATGTCTTTGCAACCATAATTCACCTCTTTCATATTAAATGCACCCACACTTATTATATATCATTTTATTCAGGGGAAAAAACAAATATTTTGCTATGAAACATAATTTAATATATATAAAATATAAAAAATTTTAGAGAAAATAAGAATTGTTTTAAATTCTTTTAGTTCTACGTGACATTTTAACTGTGAATGTCATAATACTGTTTGGTTTTTCATGCAATAAAATACACATATTTGTATTCAGCGATGTCTCACGTGTAAAACAGTACCCACTATGTACAGGTTTTATGGTGTTTTGGGAAGTTACAGGGTCAAATCTAGCATGTTACATTTTTCTGTTTTTTTACATTGAAATTCGCCAGATTGGTTGCATTGCATTTCAGACGGTGTGGTAGCCCAGAAATGAAAATCACCCCCATGATGGCATACCATTTGCAATAGTAGACAACCCGAGGTATTGCAAATGGGGTATGTCCAGTCTTTTTTAGTAGCCA